AAGGCCAGTCAAATCAGTGCTGCGGAGGCGATCCTCCCCTTTCACTCGCCTGTTTGCCCACTGGGGAACAACTGCGAAAACAACCTGTAAGTCCGATTCACTTTCTCATATGAGGATTTGATCTCACCACCCTAAACCATCCATGAGATTCCGTTCACCCACCAGTCTAGCCCCCTCCCATAGTCAGCAGGAGAAACACAATTATCTGCTGGGTCAAGAACCCCAAGCAATGGTTCATGCTAAGAGGTATGAAAACCTCATTCTAAATCTCACGCTGAATCCATGTTCCATGTGCTGAAAGAGGAAAATCCAGGTCCTCTGACCAGAATGACTTCATAGAATCCAGGGTTTGGAAACACTGCTCTGGGAGGAGAGACTGAGAGAACTGGGCATGCTCAGCCTTGAGAAGAGGAGGCTGAGGGGGACATGAGATCCCTCCATAGGTACCTCCAAGGCTGCCACAAAGAGGAAGGCCAAGATCTCTCCTTGCTGATCCCAGAGCGCAGGACACGGAATAATCAATGCAAGTTGCGACTAGCCAGATTCAAGCCGGACATCAGGAAATGAGGAAGAGGCAGGTCACATAGGCAGGCAGCCATGCACCACACCTTCGGATTGAATTTCAGGTGCCGTGGCTGATGGGATATATACATACCATGGGAGGACTAAGTGGGAAGATGGAAACCACGATGAATTCGAAACAATTCTCTGTCAGGTAGGTTGAAGTAAAAAAACTATAAACCAAGGTAACTCCATAGGGTTGCCTGTGGAACTGTGTTGTGTGAATGCAGCCTGAGGAGTTTCCATATCCACCCTGGTGAAATCTGATTTAAGGATTTGTACCCTGCAGCCACCTGCCTGAGCTCATTTCTCTCTCCTGCCCTCATGCACTTTGCAGGTGATGGATCGGGACACCCTGAGTTGATTCTTAATAACTGTACAATTTACCTAACAAATTTTGGGCATGTAGTACATCTGTGTTAATATGCTTAATTTATTGTTACATTTCCTTCAGGTTAATGGTTTAAGGGTCCCTCACAATTTAATCTCTGTAGTTATTATGAAGTGCTTGTTTCTCGTTAAAATGGGAAATAGAGCCAGCCAAGGAGATTCACATGTGATAAACTGGGCCAGAGGGGGAAAACACGTACACCTCTTTTAATAAGGTTCTCTCTAGGCATGCTCTGTCTCTCATTAAGATAGGTGCTTTGCCCTTCCCCCTGCTTGGCCTGAAAGCCAAAAAGCCCCAAATAGCCCCCATGGGGATGAGAATTTCCCCAACGTGTCTCTCCAGAGCAGTAAGCTTTCTATTTTGAATCAAGTCTGCAGAAACTGTTAATGTACAACAAATACATTGCTTATGAGGACCTTGCTAAGGTAAGACCTACAATAAGAAATAAGTAAATTTAACATGTGGCAACAATCACATGAATCGTACCGGATAATGCAGGGAGAAGAATACAAGTCACAAAAAGAGGAACAGCATTTCTCGTCGAAGAGGATGGTGTGTTTTGACACTCTGTCCAGTCAAAACCACATTAGCAGAGTTTCTACCAGGAAATACAACTAATACAGAGAGACACGCATCTTACTTGGGCCTTCAGCGTATTTTGCTGGATTTGGGAGTCTCATGCTCCTCACTGATGGATCAACATAAGCTGATACATTAGTAGTGTGCTCTTTTCCCATTTTTGTAATCTTTACGAACTTGGCTCAAATA